CGGAAATTCCATTGTGAACAAAATCCTGTTCACCAGCTTCCAGTCCTTCAAATAGTGCGCTGTTATTGTGTAGAATGTTGTCTTCGTGTGATTATTTGTCCAAAAGTCCATGGTTGCAGCACACTGTCCATTTTCTACTGCTTCTGCTACTTCTGGCAGAATTTCAGAGCGAAGTGTTTCCGCTTTTCTTACAATATGATTCGAAACTGTCGTCGGATGTAGCAGTAGATTTGATACACAAATATTTCCGTATTTGCGAGTCGTATTCACAACAATTTGTAATAAATGTAAAGCTTGCACCAGTTATTGCGTTAAACGCTCGAAAATCCTTTGCACAATAACTTACGCAGGCATTTAATATTATTTTCGTGTCCGCCGTCGAAATTTCAATACCACTCGCTTGAGACTCGGTCCTCTCCAAACAATCGCATTTGTGTATAATGTAAATGTGACGCTCGAATGCTCATTGTATACTTGTATAATTTTAAACTGCACTGCATTGCACATAGTCTATTATAATATTGGCGTTATTCTTAATTATATTGATATGTTACCACAAAGCACCGTATTTTGAAAAATAAAAGCATTATTATTGAACTGAAACCGTTATTTGTCATTATAAAATATATGCGAGTTATACCTGATATACATATTTCCTTGAATCAACCCTTCCATAAAAACAATGAAAAAGTATTGGAATTTTAACAATTACTAAATACTATTATTAGGGATAGGTGGCCCTAACTAGGAGTCCGGAGGAGAAACGGGTATTTTAATAAATTACGCAAGGTTTTACAAAAAAAAAGAACCCCAATTTATTTTGATTAAAACCCAGCACCCATACAAAATATAAACTTTGAAATAGAAAATATAGAAAAATAGAAAGAGCTTGACGGCGACCCGGCTCTCGCTCTGCGGTGGTGCCGTCGGATTCCTGCTCCCGCTTATTCTCTGTAATATAGAAAATACTGATTTAACACGAATACTCGTGTTATCGACGTACTACCTGCGAGTAGCTACCGCTCGCAGGTATTTTAGCGGACTGTATTAATGAATAGAGCGAGATTCCTCGTACCTCCTATGCTCGATAAGAGGATCGATTTCTCTTATCGAGCTGACCGATTTAAAAATTCGGTTGCGAAGCGAGCAATCGTCGCGCTCGACGCCGGTCCCTTTCCTTCAGGGAAATGACCGACTGCAGCCTCAATGCTGCTCAAACGTTGAGCTTCCTTTCGGAAACTGTCTCAACGTTGGGCTCGATTCACCTGTCCTCGAAACCCGTTGAAGGACGCGGACGAGTTTGCGACGAGCACGTCGTTCCATACCGTCGTTCCGGACTTGCTTAAAAAAGCTACAGCCTATAAATGCTATAGGTAAACGCCTATTTAGTGACGGATACTGGGAGTCGGGAACGCGTTGTGGAGTTGGGCGTAAATCAACTCCAGTTAAATTGGGACGATGCCGTCTCAAACAGGAACTTTTACCGCCAAAAGGCAAAGAGAGTAGACACTCAAGGTCTTAGTCTCGATAAAAGCCCCCTAACTCGATCGCACTGAACTCAAACCGTTCAATTGCGAGAGGCGAGTACGTCGAACTCGACTGTACGCCGATGCAGATTGTAATTTCTACAATCGGCCGCACAGCGGACTGAAAAGCTCAGACTCGCTGCTCTCAACAATATTTAAGACTGAGAGTACCTCTGTCTTAAAT